AACCTAATCAGTAATCAATGGAAAACCTAAAATCAACCTAATGTATCTTTCTCTAGAACAGCAGTAGGTAAACTGACAGATGCACATAGAGGAAGCCATTCGACAGAGTTTATCCTCCTCAAAACTGGAGAACAATTCTCCGTTGTTGAAGGTTCATTACAGTTTCCTTGCAAAAACTGTCTTACTTACTGATTTAGAAACACAATTTTGGCATACATCGGAAACATAATCCTCTCTGGAGTATTTTGGATGTTATAGGTGATGACTGAAGATGAAAACCTGAGAGTCTGCAGAAACCCAATTATACTGCCTCTAAATTGATTAAAGATGTCCATTGGAATTTCAGAAGACCGAGTGTAGTGAACAAAGAATATTGATTATTTCGATAACTTCTCCTTCTCCTTCGTGATCTGGTTACACAGTTGTAACAATCCATAATAATTAAGCTATCATTGTTGTTATTAACAAAATCATTGCTGTTTTCAATAACATAGAATCAATAATGTGAGTAGATTACAGTTGGAAAGTATATTCAAGTGGTAATATGCATAAGAATGTAATACTAAACAGAATATCAGATAAATTGTGACAAATAATGGTGAAAATAGAGAATATCTGAATTGATGAATTCCCCACCTGACGGACAAGCAGACATGCGGGCTGGCGGGCGGGAAAGTAGGTCACAGTAGAAATAGTGGCTGGACCTGTTTCCCTTGCACACATACACATACACACTCACAGCTTCTGTTGTCTTAAGTGAATGGCAATGGTGTTTGATGTTTGGAGTGTTGGGTATTTGGAGGTCTTTGGTGATTTAATCCGTAGATAATTGGGTAGATAATAGAATAAGACTCTTCAATGCTATAGCCATGTTTGTGGCCTGTTTGGACTAGTTGATTTAACATTTAACTATTGATGGTTTTAACTTCATATTAGCTTGGCCACACTGGTAGGTGTTCTGAGGACAAAAACGTAAGTTTCTAGGGGAACACAAAGACCTATTGGTGTGGCTAAAAATATAAAGATGTAGTAAAAACCATCAACAGTTGGATATTAGTACATCTGATCCAGAAAAGCCACAAAAAAGTCAGCATTGAAGAAACATTTTCTATTTTATCTTGGGCAAAAGCCTCTAGGTAGCGAATACCTGAAACACTAGAAGCCGTTGCATTTGTAGATTAAAACAATCGGAATTTTGAGTGAAAAGAAACAAAACAAACAGAAGCACTTTTAATACCTTGGCCTGCCAGCTGTGGAAACTATCAATTCAGATATTCTCTATTTTCACCATTATTTGTCACAATTTATCTGATATTCTGTTTAGTATTACATTCTTATGCATATTACCACTTGAATATACTTTCCAACTGTAATCTACTCACATTATTGATTCTATGTTATTGAAAACAGCAATGATTTTGTTAATAACAACAATGATAGCTTAATTATTATGGATTGTTACAACTGTGTAACCAGATCACGAAGGAGAAGGAGAAGTTATCGAAATAATCAATATTCTTTGTTCGCTAATTTCAGTCTTTTAAAAAATAATTGATTTATCGATTAAATTCATTAATGGTCAATAAATAAATGTTTAGTTATCATCGATATAAGAACAGAACCTAGACAGTGTGGTAGAGTATAGTTCCATCCTAATGCAGATTTGCTGGACAAAAGTATGCAGTGATGTAGTAATGTTTAATGATGTTGTGTTGAGCACAATTTATTACTGTTCATAATCATATCAAGGTGTGACATGTTCAGTACATAAAAAGACATTCATCGGCATAAACATATCACATAGGAGGGAGATAAATTTGATGTTTTCAGAGAAGGCGGATGATTCGGCGTTGCAGAGGAACATGGGAAACGTGAAAAAGAAGACAAAGAATGACAATACGAAGGACAGATCTTTGCAAATGATGATTTTGAGATAAGGTGTGGGTACATAATTTCGCTGTATAGCGATACCAGATTTCGAATGCACATTCATTCACCAAGTCTCTTGTCTTCTACAGTTTCAAAAGTCTTCACACAACTTTTGAACTTTGCTTATATCTATAACTCACAAATCGATTAAAGATACGAATGAAAAAAGACGAGAAATCGTCTGTAAAATAGGATAAGTAAAATGTTAGAATGTAATGATGTTAATTCAAACTAAACAACACAAAATGGAATATTGTTTCCTGTCCTTTGACTTGATTGGCAGCAATGTTTTCCATATTTCTGGCATTGGTGCCAAGTCATTCCTACTGTATGTGTTAGGTGTAGATTTGATGAATCAAGATTCAATAATCAACCACTCGCTCGACCTATCAATATTACATTTTCGAAACGTAACTCTTTCCCACCTTATTGTGTGGTTGTGTGTTAATGCATGCAATGCAATCGGTGTTTTTTTCCTAAATTACTCATCTTCGCAGAGTCAACCATTCTTTACTAAGCTGAGTTCTTATGTTCCCATAATCTGACCACTCCCGGCCTACTAGTTCTAGCAATGTAGTTGACCTCGTTCACATTCATTGCAAGTTTAGTACTTTGTCTAATCGGGTCAGTGGGGTCCTTTCCTCACAGAACTAATTGAGTGTGTAGGTTTATATTGTCGCATTAACTCCTGCATTATTAGGGATCTGACTTAGGGTCTCAAATGTCCCCTCTTTATATGGTAAAACTGCAGACGCCCTATAGTCTTTCTTACTTATATCATGACTACCAGCCTCATTATTATTTTTATTTTCCTTGTGATCTGTTTTTACTTCAATGGGTTTTATAGGAAAGTTATTTAACACCAACATTCTTCTATCTGTTTCACTTCATAATATAGGTTTTTTTGTTGTACTACTTAGTGCTGGTGCTTGGCTTGTTTGACACTTAACTAAGCCTGTCATTACAGAAACCGGATGAGATGAATTAAAGTCTAAATATCCATTAGAAAGCGTTGGCTTATTTTTATAAACGCCAATGTGCAGTCTACCTTCTCTTGTCGGTTTTATTTACAATCTGACATAGCTAATTCTCCTTGTTTATTTTCTGATTCAAATGTGAATTTTATTCTCTTTACTAGTATGTTTATATGTATCAAAAGGCTAGAGATATGTTCTGTTTTTAACACTATGAAAGTGTCATCCACATATCTGTACCGTATTTTCCCAGCTATCCATAAAGATATCTGCCACGATAGGGGATATTGGTGATCCCACTACTGCACCTGTTTGTCTATATATTTTGCTCTGGAATTTAAACATATTAGATAAGAAGCATAACTGAATTCCTAAAATAATTTTCTCAATGGGCAGCTTTACTCTACGAATTAGTTCAGTATCACCAGTTGGTTCTTTTGTAATGGCTTCCAAGTTCAATAGTGATTCGTATTTTAGTATGAAGACCTGTGATACCAAAACTAACCGTTTTTTTTCATTATCCTCTATTTGAATATCATTTAGTTTCTTTTTTATTCCATGTCAATTAGTTAATCTTGAGTCTGAATAATTTCCGATGGGACATAATATTAGAGCTAAGTGTTTTAGAAATTCATAAGTAGGGGTATTCCTGAAATCTGCTATTGGTCGTACGGGGTAACCTGGCTTATGTATTCTTATAGTACCACATATTCTACCAGAATTATTAGTTTTAGGCATTAAATTAAACCATTTATACTCACCCAGTAACGGCTTCGTTCTACGTATTAAATCCCCTGTAGATTTCTTGATCTTACTCATTATTGTATCTACAGGCTTTTAATCCATTAATATAAACTCGCTGTAATATATTCAGTGACTTTCTCAATATAATCAGATTTACCCATAATTACTGTCGAGTTTCCTTTATCAGCCTTTGTAATGACGATGTTTTTATCCTGTTTTAGATTCCTATTTTGTTAAGTTTGGTTGTGCTTTTATTTTATTATTTTAGGACTGATGCACACTGTGCTCGAACCTTTTCTGTTGGTCGTCATTAGTAAATAATTCTATATGACACAGTGATTTTATCAAATAAATTTCCTCTATAATGTTTAGGCATCATTTTTATTTAGAAAAAAATAATCGGTATATTGTATGATATTTTTATCCTTGTCAAAAACAAATCTTTACTTGTCATTGAAGTCTATAAAAGTGCCAGCCTCTCCATACACATCTGCCTGATGGTAATGATGGTGATGGCAGCATTAAACTAGGAGAGAGAGAGAGAGATTAGACAACAGATGTAGAATGTATTTCGTAAATCTTTTGTTTAGATTTTGAGCAGACAGCAGAACTGTTAACCTTGACAAGACACCATTTTAGACATGTATCCAATTAAAGTACTTTCCGAAGGTCAAATAGAAATCAGTCCTTCATATAGTCAGTCCATGATTTATTATCATAGTAAAAGCGGGGGTGGATATTGGTAAACAATAGGCTTTGATTGGTCGTTAAATGGGTGAAAAACGATTCGTTATACACTGGAAGACGATCATACGGATATAATTGTGGGAACCTGGACATCCATCCATCCATCCAATGGCACGTATGCTATAGGCGGCAGTTGGGCCACCATCAAATACTTAGAAAAAAAACCTTCAAATTAATTTATTATTTAGGTGTGTCAATTGTTTACAAAATTTTGAATAAACACCCATAGACAAAAACGTACGAATTAAAAAAAACTAAGATAGATAGATCGACTACCAGACACACTTGCGGTCGACATACCTGTAGGCATGAAAAAGACATTAAACAGAGAGCACTAATAAAGTTTATCTGTCACTGTTTTTGAGTTGTTGTCTGGACTCTATCAAAAGAAAAACATATCTCTGATTTGCTTGGCGTGTGTTGATTGAATTCAGGTCATTTGTACACATTAGTCAGCTGTCCAATAATGCTAAGTACATATTTATATGAAACAATATACATATATGTATAATATATAATGCATTTACATGCTCATTATATGATAAGCATCATTTTTTCCAGGTCAAGTTAGTCTATAGTTGAATTATTGTTGTGTTGACATGTGTCATGAGTCATCATCTTCAGCATCAAATGCAATCACAACTTTTGACAACACCATTAACGGACAGATCAAATACTGCTATTACGCAATCATTGGATTCTGATATAATTATGGGAAATACAATGCCATCATCATTTCTTGAAATGAACTTATCATCACAAACATTGCCATCAACAACAAATGGTTTGTCGAATGATGTAGAAGGGAATCGTTCTACTCGTAACAGTTTAACAGATGACAGTAATCCTAATAACAACAATAGTTCACAATGTAAATCACCCCTTTGGCTACCACCAGTTACACCGTATACACTACTTGGCTTATTAAAACCTCATTTAACACAATCAGGTTTATTGCCAAATCCAAATCATCCTAGTCAACCGGTTGCTCCACCTCCACCTGCGCCTCCACCTCCCCCTGCATTTCCACTTGCACCTTCTGCCCAACATAATTCTATGCAACAAACAAATCCTGGGACGATAATGTTAAGTACGAAATTATGTGAAGATCTAATGATGGGACAGCAGAGTAATCTGAAATCATCACAACATCATATTTCATCAGTGTCTTCTACATATCTTTCAGAACTTTTAAATCATCAATCACAAACAAATTGTGGAAAGAATTCAGTGCATGGTAAGTTTAAAACCATCGATTCCTTAATGTTAATTTGTTCTGGTTTACATTTCTTATTGACAGTGGTAATTTAATGATTTTGTCCTGTCACATCCTCGTCAGCTGGTTGTATGTCTGTTATGCGTGTGTGATTTCATTTACTACGTCTCAGTAGTACACGTGACAAGTCATTGCCTTCCTTGTAGAGTAATATTAGTTGACATACGATTACGTTGGAGAATAGTTAGAAGGGGTGAGGGAGGCAAAATCAAAACTTGGCATCAATGGATAAATTCTTTGACTGTTGATGTCAGCGAGGTCGGAAGGTGTACGCTGTCTCGTCGGGTTGCTAAAAATCACCATGGGCTTGCTACTGTTGGTGGTGATATAGGTGTCAATCATTCTCAATATTACTCTGTGTGACCTAGATTCACTGAATCATTATTATTATTATTGAGCATATAATTATTCTTTCTGTTGTACATTTCCGTGTATTTTAGTTTCTTTCCATTTCTCTATTAACTTCCATGAAGTGCAACAACTTGAACTATTGCATTTTAGTGCATGGCTGTCTCTAAGTCATTTATATAGGTTTCCGATGACTTTCCTCATACATTTTCATTTCTCCTTTCGTTATTCAAGATCTGGAGTGTATTAGTTCATTAGTAGGATGCTCACTAACCACTTTGAACATAGTTTTCATTCCAGGTCGACTCACTCGTAAACCTCACAGTAGCCTGTAGTAAGTGTGGGCAAGAGGGAAAGTTGGGCTAGGTGTATGAGGCTAGCAAACCTAATTGACAGCTACTGAAGCTTCAAAGCTTAAAGTTGTCTATGTTTCACTGGAAACACAAGGAAATTCTGTAACGAATCAATTAAATCCCTACAAACCAGTACTTGAGATGCTCACTGGCAACTGACCTCATATCAGGAGGTTAGTTACCTGGGTTCTAGTGAGAAGTTGTAACCAGTGGAGTACAGCATGCCGGGCGTGAGGGCAAATACTCGCCGATGATATTGGCTAGCGGTCAGGCCATATCATGAATTGGCAGAAGTTGGAATTCATGGGCTGGCCATTGGATTGGGTCCCAGTGGCTTAATGATCTACAAACTCGCTAACCTTGTAACCAGAAGGCCCAGGGTTCGAACCCCCATGGGTGCGTAATAGTGAAGAGTCCCAAACTGGGCTGACGAAACAGCTGTCCAGTACTCCCTGGTGGCTTTCCAATGGTTCTCTGGCCGATTTAAGCTCCTGCTGAAACCCTGTAACCAATCAAATCAAATCCCTACAAACCAATACTTGAAAACTGGAAAAGTTAGATCTCTTGTATATGTGATGAATATGTCTGTCTATATTTATGTGACACAAATAGACACCGTTAAAAATGCAGTTTGTTAGGACATTGACTGATACTTAGCAACAATTTCTTCCAATGAGCTGCACATTTTTATCGTGTTGGTAAGTTTTACAGTGTTGTTCAATTTGACTGAAAACCTTGCACAGAAGTTCACCAGTTCAAGTTGTCACACTTCATGTCATGTAGCATATATATGAAAGTAGAAAAAAGGCATAAAAGAAATTCAAAGGGATTATAAAGACATTGGGTCATAGGATCATAAAGAACAAAGATATATAAGAAAAAGAATAAATGTGTGAAGAATAATGAGAAACTAATAGATTTAGGAGATCATCCACTAAGTGAATGCATCCTGTACCAATGAGAACAATTTTCAGCTATCTCACCAACAGCCTCATGCTTATTAGTTCTTAGCATCTTGAGGACCCCAACCAGGTAGCCTACACGTCCGTTCACGGTTCAAACCAAAAAAAGTTTCATGAATTGATGCCAGGCTTCGATTTGACCATCTTAAATCCCTTTCCAAACCAATCGTATGTAAGCTAGTAAATTCCTGACAAGGAAGCTCATAGCTTGGCATGCGCAACACTTACCCTAGCCATCGGAGTTGTTGATATTGTTTCAAAACTTCATCTATTGATTCGCCTTCCTTCCCTACTCAGTGCTCTATGCCTAACCTCAGTATCAGTCACTGCATTATACCACTTACCACAGGATATAGAACACAAACACCTACAGTTGGAGACTACTAGCTTTTTCATATCTGTTGCTTTTAGTGATCGTGTCTCACAGCCGCTAAAAGGATGATGCTGTGTAATTTACCAGCCTAAGACACCACATAGAGCGAGTGATACAGTATTACCAACTGGAAAACTTTTACTTTTGTATTGCTGTGTGTTGTCGAGATTTCACTTTTCAGTTGGGGTCATGAACTGAGTTCAGTTAGATAAAAATTAGAAACTGAAGGGGTTGTGCTATATATATATATATATATATATATATATATATATATATATATATATATATGACAAATTGCCAGAAGTTATAATTCATGAACCAGCCATTGGACAACATCTTTGTAACTGAATAGTCAACAGTTTGGCCTTCTAACTTGAAGGTCGTAGATTCGATCCTGCTCGGTGGAGTCATGAGTACTTACTGATAAAGAGCCTCAAACTAGGACGAAATAGCTGTCCAATAAGTACATCCTGGTTTCCATTGGTTCTTTAACTGATATGTTAGTTCGTGATCAAACTCGGAACTAATTATATCTATTGAAGGTGTGTTGATTATGAACACCATAAGGTGGAGGGAAGGGTTGGGTTTTGTTTCAATCAACTGTACTTATCATAGTGACAAGAGCAAGAGGAAATCAAGAATAGCAAAGGAAAACTACATAGAAGAGACAGTGGAAATACAAAAAGGAGCACTTAAGTCAAGAATGATAATCAAGATAATCAGAATTTAAACGGAAGCGAGAGTTATGAGTATGCATGTACACATCACTCAGAAATGACAAATTGTCAAGTTCTGTTCTATTACAACCTAACATTTGTCTCTGCATATAACTTTGGTCTCGATAGCGTCGGTGGCACAGTGGTTAGGACTCTCGACGACCATGCACATGGTCCGAGGTTCGAGCCCACACCGGCGCACACCAGATATCTATGGTCGGCCTGTGAAATTTGGGCTACCGATATCCACGCTGAAAATTCCATACTTGTACCAAAAATACAGTGTGGAATCAAGCTGATACCAGAAATAAAAATAAAAAAATAATACTTAAAGTTATAACACTTAAGTGTTTTTTTTTTAAGTCCCTAATATTTAGTCATTATTCTGAGTCCACTATAAGTCATCGAGACTAAAATCAACATATGGAATGGTGGAATTCTATCACAACTAAAATAAGCTATGAGTTGTATTCTAGAAAATCAATATACTATTTGTATACCATCCTATTTGCTAATTTGATGAGTCTTAATTAAATTTAAATTCAGATTCAAATTTTAAAAGACTGATTACTGAACAAACATTCTTTTCGATAACTTCATCAGGTCTTACGGTGATATATCCATAATAATGAAAGAATTAGGATTATTAACAACATTAATGCTAAAGTAACATTGAATCAATGATACCAACAGATTACAGTTCAATACGGCTGTAAGCGTGATAATATGCATCAGCGTGACGCTACACTGAATATCAGATAAATTGGGAAAAACAGTAATACAGGATTCATGAATTTATAGGTTCCACAGAAGGCCAATATAATAGTATTGGTTGGACCTGTTTCTTCTGTACGCTAAGTAACAGTTGTTTTAGGCGAATCATACTAACCCTTTCTGTTTCGAGTGCCTAGATGTTTTTGGCAATTTGCTTGGTACCAGATAGATGATGGAGAAGGATCCTTCAATACCAGCTTTTTGGCTGGTTTGGACCAGGTGGTCTAATATCCATCTGTTGATATTTTTCACCACACCTTTGTTTAGCTACACCAGTAGGTGTTCCCGAGCACGCAAAATCAAGTTCCTAAAGCGACGGCTAATATAACTCGCTCCACAAGCGTAGCTGAATTGGTAGGTACGGTTAGAAGTGGCTAGTCTTCATCTTTTAATCAAGGAATCACCATCGGTCATTTACAAAACATGACTTCTAGCTTACCAGAATTAAAAGTTCTTTGAATAGAATTTCTTAACTTGTTAGTAATTATTTCACTAGATACGTCACTCTTGAATTGCAGTCGTATATATAAAGGCTTCGTATTTACAGATAAAGAATATTCCATTTCTAATTTCTTGGTTATGTGTTTCCTGATGAACTTTTCTGGATAGCAATTTTCCTATGTGCTTTTCCTATGCAAATTTCTCTTTATACTACCGTTTAGTTTTCTTGAAAGAAGGACATTTGGGAAGGTAGTTCTATTTTGAGATTCCTCTCTACACGTGAAATTGATAGCGTATTGTGCTTTATTGAATTGATCTGCTAAATCTGCTAATATGGGACCCAATGGGGAGCCCACTGCTACCCCGTCCACTTGTCTTTAAAGTGTGCCATCCAATTTAAAATTTATATTCATGGTACACCCTAATAACAGTTCTTTTAAGATTTCCATTCGGATGCCAATATTTATCAGTCTGTTGAACACTTGTTCACGTATGTAGTTAGTCGTCTCCTCTAGGCAGCGTGATTCACAGGTTCTCCATCAAATGTGAAATCGATCTTCCGAAATTTGAATAATCGAATCACAGACTACTTTTATTGATCTTATTGATTTATTTGATATGTGATCAAACAGATTCAGTAGATAGTCTAATGAAGAGATTGACAAACGGTAATTGGCTGAGTCTGATTTTAACAATATTTGCTTCTTTGTGTATGTGGTTCTTGCAGAAGCTATATTTTTATGTTTGATTATACATTATTGAATAAACAGTAAGGAATTAAATGACCACAATGATATATATTCACTTATAAGAAATAACTGTCTTTCATAATAACAGGTTGAAGTGTCAGTTTCTTTTGATTGACATCTCATATGGATGTAAAATATTACTGCAAATTGTTAGCGTGGTAAGATGTAAGGAGAAAGCTGAATATGTGATGTGATGTTTAGCACCAACATGGTTGGTATAAACTACCTGGCTGAGTGCTCAAACC